GAGCTGGCTGGTTTGCCCTGAAGGGTGTCCTGGATCAGGGTGGGGGTCCCCACTGGGGTGCCTGGCCAGTCTGGGTGAGGGGCTGAGGGCTGTTTTCCGGGTGGCGAGTGACTAAAGCTTCCAACCGCTCCTTGTTTTCTTCTTCTTTTTTTTTTTATTCTGGGCCAGCTTTAGCTCTGAGGCCTCGCTGCTGAAAACATGGATACAATGTTTCGGTCCGGCTGGGTTTCAGTCCGCTGGTTTCTGGAGTTTTGTTTATCTTATTTGCAACATAGTACATAGTTTCTTAGAGTTGTAGCTCAGAGGCCAGCAAGTGAGGCGGGGAACGTTGGAGTCCGCAGCAAGCAAGCCTCATGTTCGCTTCCAGCTGCCTGGCTGCCGGCCGCCAGCTTGGCTGACAGTTAATTTGCATATACTCACTAATTACCATGTTTCTCTTTTATTAGATAGGATAATATGTATTATACATGTGTATTATATAATTATAATGTTACATGCTGCTATTATTAGTTTTTAAAACTTTAGATATTAAGTCTAAAGGTCACATGCAAGATTAAATGCATAAAATAATCAAGAAAAGCTTGAAGAAGAAAAAAGGAAAGTTTCAAGGAGAACCAAGATTGTAGCGTAAACATGGTACTTAATGCCTCCCACAACCACATCAAAATTACAACTAAAATACAAAATAACCATCATTCAGAAATCATCCTGAATGGAAGTCCTACAACTAAAGAAGTAAAGAAGAAAGCATAAAAAGACTGATAGGAGGGTGGAGCCCAGAACAAGCGGGCCCGACACCCATGTGTGGCGTTTTTTTTTAAATAGGGATGGATATCTCAGCTGTGGAGGCTTCCGTGAGGAGTAAAGAGTTCCAGCCCCATACCAGACACCTCAGCCCAGGCTTCCAGTGCCAGGAAGAGAAGTCCCCATAACTTTGGGCTATAAAACCAGCAGGGATTGTGGCTGAGTGACAGGGAGGCTGCTGGAGACCCAGGTCTGGCTGGCATATGGACTTACTCAGACTAGTTCCCTCTGAGCTCCAATGCTGGGGTAGAGTTTTGGAGAGATCCAGGGCCATATGCAGAGGAACTAGATTACTTGGCATCAGAGTAAGAACTCAGGGGCGGTTTTTTCCCACAGAGTTGCTCAAAGGATTCATTATTCCTATGCTGAGACCTCCTCCATCGCAGAGCTGACTAGCAGCCATATCTGAGTCTCCATCAACCTGACTCACACTATTCGATAGCCCTGGTGATTCCCTGAGACCCCAGCCCATCTAATTTGCAGTCCCAACCAAGCTGTTTGCAGCTGCTTTTCCATATGAATAGCCTGTCCAGGCTCAGGCTTCAGACTTGCCTAAAATCTCTCAAACAAGCAGCAGCTGGCATCAGCGTGCCCCATAACTATCAATAAGAGGCCCAAGACCTGGCACCAGCAGCTAGGTCTCACCTGGACACTTCTAAGTGCAACACAAGTAGCAGCCACCTGAAGATCTCTCTGTAGCTCCTGCCAGGTGGCTCCAGGCAGTGGCTGACTTTGCATCTCCCAGGAGACCCCAGAGGCAGTACACATGGTGGACAGCTTCAGACCATACCAGATTACAACTCTACACATCCACGAGTGACACACTCAAGGGGCAGACTCAGTGAGCACCAGAGCCCCACTAAAGCAAGTCCTGATCCATAGGGGTGTCTCCTGCACAGCAGCTCTCCCACTGTAGTTGCAGCTGGTCCTCACAGCCAATTGGCCTGGAGGTCACTTCCTCCCAGTGACACCAATAGCACTTAAGGCTCAACTACAACAAGACTGTGCACACAGGAGCACACCAAGAGTGCCCAGCTCAGGGGACTGGGGAGACTGGGTCGCTGGGCCCTACAGGACACCTACTACTACACAAGGCCACTCTACCAATTCCAGGAGACATAGCAGCTCTACCTAATACATAGAAAAAAAAACACAGGGAAGCAGTCAAAATGCTGAGATAAAGAAACATGTCACAGGAGAGACCAAGATGGCGGCGTAGGTAAACACCGGAGACCGCTGCCGCAAACAACCATTTCAAAAATACAACTAAAAGACGGAACGAACATCACCCAGAACCACAGGAAGGCTGGCTGAAGAGAGACTCTGCAACTAGAAGGAAAGAGAACAGCAAACCGAGGCTCAGAGGAGGCGCAGTGTGGAAAATACAAAGGTACCGAGGTGCGCGCGAAAGCGAGCTGGTGGCTGAGGGCGCGGTTGTCGTTTTCGGTCGGGAGTGAGTCTCAGACTCTGGGCTCCAGATCCGGGCGAGTCTGTAGGGACCCAGACTCAAACGGGAGAAGCGGGATTATCCGGCATCAGTTGGAACCTGAGGGCAGCTTTCTCTCCGAGGTTTGCAACGGCTGCCGGGGTTCTGAGAAGCAGAGCCTCTGGGAACGGGACTGAGAGCGGCCATAACTGCTCCCTCCGCCCGCCCTGTTGAGCCCGCCCCGCCCAAGCCCTGCGCACAGCCATTTGCCGATCGCCTCAGGCAAAGGCTGGATTAGCGCCTCCCCAGAAGACAGACGTTTTCCACACAGCTGATTCCTACAGCCAGTCGGCCTGGTGGTCAAATCCCTCTAGTGTTAACTACAACAATTAAGGCTAGGCTAGAACAAGACTGCGCACAAAGACCACAAGGGGGTGCACCAAGAAAGCATAAAAGATGCGGAGACAAAAAAACATGACAGAAATGGAGGATATGGAGCTAAGAATCGCAATTTTGAGGGCTTGCTATAAACTTGCGCAGAGCCTCACAAAAACTAATGAGACCCTCGATGCTACGATAAAGAAATTAGAAAGTAAGCATACACGGACTGAAATAAAGAATATTATACCCAATAGCAGACCAGAGGAGCACAAGAATCAAACCAAAGATTCGACAAAAAACACCCAACTGGAAAAGCAAAATGAAAAAATCCGAAAGTGTGAAGATAGTGTAAGGAGCCTCTGAAGGGACAGCTTCAAGCGCACTAATATCAGAATTATTGGAGTGCCAGAAGATGAGAGACAGCAAGATATTGAAAACCTATTTCAAGAAATAATGGCAAAAAACTTCCCCCACCTGGAGAAAGAAATGGACTTACAGGTCCAAGAAGCGCAGAGAACCCCAAACAAAAGGAATCCAAAGAGGACCACACCAAGACACATCATCATTAAAATGCCAAGAGCAAAAGACAAAGAGAAAATCTTAAAAGCAGCAAGAGAAAGAGGCTCAATTACCTACAAGGGAATACCCATACGACTGTCAGCTGATTTCTCAACAGAAACTTTGCAGGCCAGAAGGGAATGGCAAGAAATTTTCAAAGTGCTGAATACCAAGAACCTACAACCAAGATTACTTTATCCAGCAAAGCTATCATTCAGAATTGAAGGTCAGATAAAGAGCTTCACAGATAAGGAAAAACTAAAGGAGTTCATCACCGCCAAACCAGTATTATATGAAATGCTGAAAGGTATCCTTTAAGAAGAGGAAGAAGAAGAAAAAGGTAAAGATACAAATTAGGAACAACAAATATGCATCTATCAACAAATGAATCTAAGAATCAAGTGAATAAATAACCTGATGTACAGAATGAACTGGTGATTATAATGAATCAAGGACATAGAAAGGGAATGGACTGACTATTCTTAGGGGAAAAGGGGTGTGGGAGATGCGGGAAGTGACTGGACAAAAATCATGCACCTATGGATGAACACAGTGGGTGGGGAGTGAGGGTGGAGGGTGGGGTGGGAGCTGGAAGGAGGGGAGTTATGGGGGGAAAAAAGAGGAACAAATGTAATAATCTGAACAATAAAGATTTAAAAAAAAAAAAAAGATCTTCAAGGAACTTAGTGAGAATTTCAAGGCTCTTAGTGAGACTCTCAAAGACCTGAAAAAAGACCAATCAGAAAGTAAGCATACACTAACTGAAATAAAGAATAATTTACAGGGATTCAACAGCAGAGTAGAGGATGCTGAGCATCAAAATCAGCAATTTGGAATATGAGTAAGCAAAAAATACCCAATCAGAAGAGCAAAAAGAAAATTAATACAAAAAAATATGAAGAGAGTGTATAGAGCCTCTGGGAAACTTCAAGCATACCAACATTCAGATTATGGGAGTGCCAGAAGGAGAAAAGACAGAGCAAGATATTGAAAACCTATTTGAAGAAATAATGACAGAAAACTTCCCCTACCTGGATAAAAAAATATACTTACAAGTCCAGGAAAAGCAGAGAGTCCCAAACAAGAGGAATCCAAAGAGGCCCACACCAAGACACATCATAATTAAAATGACATAGGTTAAAGACAAAGAGAGAATCTTAAAAGCAGCAAGAGAAAAGCAGTTAGTTACCTACAAGGAGTGCCCATACGACTGTCAGCTGATTTCTCAACAGAAACTTTGCAGTCCAGAAGGGAAAGGCAAGATATATTCAAAGAGATGAATAGCAAGGACCTACAACCAAGATTATTCTATGCAGCAAAGCTATCATTTAGAATCGAAGGTCAGATAAAGAACTTCACAGACAAGAAAAAGCTAAAGGAGTTCATCACCACCAAACCAGTATTACATAAAATGTTGAATAAAAAAAAAAAAGAAGAAGAAGAAAAAGAAAAATAAAAAGAAAGAAAAATAAAAAATAAAATGGCAATAAATATATATCAATAATTGAATCTAAAAATCAAAATAAACAAGAAATCTAATGAACAAAATAAACTGATGAATAAAATAGAATCAAATGCATGGAAACATGGAACAGACTGATGAATCTCAGAGGGAAGAAGGGAGAGGGGGCAGAAAGAGATTAACCAAAGAACTTATATGCATATATGCATCACCTATGGACACAGACAAAAGGGTGGTGAAGGTCTGGGGTGGGGTGGGAACTGGGTGAAGAGTGGCAGTGGGGAGAAAAAAAGGAGACATCTATAATACTCTTAACAATAAAGACTTTTTTTTAAAAAAGGGGAACAAATAAATAAATGGGGAAAAAAGAAAAGCTTGAAAAAGAAGACCAATGAGAGCAGAAGTCCTATGGTAATTAAAAATTTACATAACAGAGATGACACATATTACACATATGTAGCTCATACTTGTGGCGCACTGACCTGCGCTGAGCGTCTGCCTCCTGGTGGTCAGTGCGCGTCATAGCGACTGGTCAACCAGTTGTTCTGGTCGTTCAGTCTTAACGGTCACTTAGGCTTTTATATATATAGATTATAATTCCAATTAAGACCCAAAATTATTTGCAGGAAAAGAATGATGGGACCTGGCTCTGCCACTAACTAGTTATGTGATCTTGAAAAACTAATCATCTGTAAAATGAAAACAAAATAAAAATTTAAAGTAAGGTTCCTCCTATATCTGTTCATTTCTATGGACCTAGTATACAAAATAGACTTCATTCAGAAGAGATTATGGAAATATACTGATAAGAAAGCATTTCAAAGACAACAAAAGGAGAGAAGGGAACAACGTGCCTATCTTTTAGCTGACCCCAAAACTACATTCCCAACATTTGAAAGAATAGCTCTATGAGAAACTTCCATTTGTACTCTAGGAGATGAATAACATACAGAGAATATATTAAGGTAAGCGGACAAATAAAGGGTAGGCAGAATGGATGAGAATATGACTAATAATTTTATAAGGCCCTGCTAGAGGAAACTCCTGGGCAAACACTGGATAGGCAAGAAATCCAGAGCCTCTAGGGAATACAACTTCTCCAAGATCAGCATCTCAGGTAAGTATCTTAACTTACTTAGTGCAATCATTTATCAATTGGATAGCCTTCCTAGGGAAATCAAAAGAGTATAATCAAAGAGAGATATCAAGACTTATTAAAAGCTACAGTCAATAAAACAGTGTGTTCTTGGTACAGTGTAATCAATATACCAAAAGAACAGAATAGAGAGCTCAAAAGCAGGTCCTCTCTTTATTTATGACAGAGTTGATACTACACCTTAATGGAATAAAACAATCAATAAATGGTGCCAGTTATGCATAAATAAAATAAAAATTAATCCCTATGTCATATCATCCACCAAAATATTTTTCAGATATATTAAAAAATTATATTGAGAGTACAAAACGTAAGCTTTTAGAAAATATAGGAGAATCTATATGACCTTAACATAGGGAAGGATTCCTTGTCACAAAACAGCATAAACCATAAAAGAAAAAATGAAAATTTATTACACTAAAATTTTAAAGTTTAAAAGTCATACAGATACACACAAGACAAGCCATACACTGGGAGAAGTTATCTACAACACATATACTGACAAAACATTAAAAACTGGAACTTTTGCAAAATAAATAACAGGACAAACAATCCAACAGAAAAAATAAAAGGAAATCTAAAGCCAAAATATCTGAAAGGGTAACTTCCTTGAAATCAACAAATTAAAATCACAATTGCACATCCACCAGATAGGTAAAAATTTTAAATTTGACAACATCAATGTTGCTGAGGATAGTGAACAATCTATCACACTCTACTGAGAATATGATGAAACAACCATTTTGGAAAGCTGACATACTTAGTAAGGTTGAATATCCACTTATCTAAGTAATTTTACTCTTAGGCAAATATTCCAGAGAAACTCTGGCACAGTGTATACATTACCTTATTGTTTGTACTAGCAATAAATAAATAAAAAACCCTAATTGCAATTTGTTATAAATATACTGTGGAATATGACATTTGATCTATTAACATGTACCTATATTATTTAGATTTTCAATTAAAAGGAACAGGTAGGTCTTTTATAATTATTTATGCAGATAATAAGAGTTTCTGGTATTCTATAAAAAAAATTCCACATTCCATATTATATCAGTTTTATTAAGAGGGAGGGTAGAAGTGATTAGGTGACTGAAAAATTTTTGGTTGAGAATGGTAACTACTGATTAAAATTTTGTACACATTCAAAATAAAACACAGAAATAGACTAAGACCATTATTATAATTATGGTAATAGAGGTCCTGCTTACCCAGGTTTCTTTCTGCTGAGAGTCTATAAATAATAGATGTGTGGCCGTAAGATATAGTGTTCCTGTTAATGACTTGTTGTTGGTACTGAATCGGTCAAGTAATTTCACTTGCTCAACCTAAAAAAGAAAAAAATGTTACTTCTCATTTCAAAAGTAGTATAAATTCTTTTTCTGTCATCCCAGGATTTAAATGTACCATTTTCAAATTTTTATTCCTTCGGTTAAAAAACATGAGTTTACTTAATATTGAACGTTAAATTTCATATATCCTGGGAAATATATAAGCCACAAATAACATAGGTACTATTTACAGGTATAAATATAACCAAGAGAGAAGAACCCTGTAAAAAAGTATTAATACAGATATTATGAAAAACAGAAAGGAAGGGTGTGTTATAAATAAGCAAAAACCTTTTTTTATAGCCAAGAGTCAATGTATTTTACTTAAAGTTGGCAGGTAAAGTAATAAATATAATAAGGTTATTTTGTAGAGTTATGGAAGTTAATTACCCCAGAAAAAATAAATCAGGAAACAGTTAAATGGTTGCAAACTCCAAGTTATTTTCCTCACCACTTCACCCAGGACATTGTTTTGTGTTCAACTCCGTGCTTTTACTCATACTGTTCTCCCTTCCTACAATAGTCTCTTCTGCTTAACTAAATACAAAGCATTCTTCAAAGCTCACTGATGCCCTGTCTCCTAACAGGAATCCTTCTCAGAATATTAATTACTTAATGTCTTAGCTTTATATTTATTTATGGCTCTGAATTCCCTGGTATAGATTATGTCATATTCTGCTTCTGCATCCTTTGGTAACTGAAGCAGTGAGGTACATAGTACATCTTTATTAATAGTAGACACACATGCACAAGGTTGCCACTGAAGAGTGGGATTAGAGTTGGCTAGGGATGTGCAGGAGACTACTGTTTTGAAAAAATAGTATTTATTTCTATCTATTCGTAATATAGGTAACAAAGTTAAAGAACCATTACCAAGTTAAAAATTTTAATCCACAGCTATCGCAGTAGGTTGTAGATAGTTCCTTAAATTGTGCAGGGCTTCAAAACCAGATAGCTAACCATTATTGCATTAATTCTATACTTTTTCCCCACATATACAGAGTGTTGTGAGTACATGAAGCAGAGTTTATCCTTTTATTATTATTTATTAATTATTGTGCCATTTTCCATACAAACAACTGTAAACCTACTTTTGAGCCACCCTGTGTTTTCTTTTCCCTTACTAAAATTGAAGAAAAAAAGGCTCCCCATTTTGAAATTATGATTTCTGAAATAATCAAAAACTACCATCTAAAAGGCTACTAGTGCTTCCCCAAGAAATTTAATTTCAGAGAAAGGTTTTTACTTATAACAGCACCTGTTCAAATAAATTAAAATTAAAATACTTGTTTTTTGTAGGAAAAAAGAGTCCATCCTGACCTTAACACCTTGTGGATTGTTCATTACCTTAGTAAATGCAAAATTATATTCAAATCAAGAAAACATATAGAAAATCATTATATGACTATTTCAATAAGGCAATCTCTATATCGATGTGACATAATAAAATTAATCTGAAATTATCCCTAAACATTTAGTTAATACTTAAACTAAAGTTCTAGAGAAAAAAAGATTATTTCTGAGAAAATATACTAATTATTTGGTTCTTTCCTGCAAATCCTAAAATACTTTTTTTAAAATAAAAGAAATAGGATCATTTTCTTTGCTAAGATCGTTAGCATACAAATTTTAAACTAAAGACTTAGCCAATTTCTGAACATATAACTGCTGCTTCATATTTCCCCCTTTTCACTGAGGAACTGAAAGTACTTTACAGATGTCACTACAGATTTTTCCCAGTGTTTTCTTGGAAATATCTCTAAGTGAGATATTTAGGAAGCATCTACAACTCTTGGAGGGCATGGTCATTATGGTGAGTATAGGAAATGCCAACACATTACTTTAAGGCCCATTTAGTTGAATTGTTGCCAAGTAGGGGCCTGCACTAAAAGGTACCCTAATGGTCTATATAGGAAGTTCAAATTTTAGCTAATTACAAAGGAGAAAATGAAAAACAGAGGAAATCACACATACACAGAATCACATTCGGAAAATTCAGACACTTATCTACCAACAAGAGGGAAAGTAATTTCTAGGACAAGGGACTAATGGCCTTCTTCAAAATTCTGTGACCAACAGACAACTGCATGACAATGGCTGAAGAAGCAGAAAGTACGCTGTTAAGGTTTCTCTAGCCAGTCACCCATTTGAGACTCTTAGAATCATTACACACTCACAGCACTGACATCTTACCAATAATTAGCTATCAAAAAAAAAAACAAACAAACACATCAAGTTGTTTTCCTGAAGTGGAAGGTAGGAATCAAAAAAGCAGAGATTTTTATCTATTTTGTTCTTGTGCCCCCGTTACTACAACAGATCATAAATCCAGGGGCACTTTACTGATCTATCTTGCTTTGCTTTCCTGCTCTTCTAGACACAGCTAGAATTCAGTGAATGGCTTCCTGTCTCACACAGTAATCACAAAGATTTTGCATCAGCTTTCAAGACTCTATAGTAACTTGTCCCTTTCCCCAACTTTTAATCTTCTACTATGCTCTCTCCTTCACTCACTCACGTTGGTCTTCTTGCTAGTTCTTACCAATCAGGAATGCCCAGCATAGGGTCTTTGCTCTTGCTGTTCCTTCCCTCTGTTGGGACTCTTCCTGTTACCTCTTCCACCCATGTCAAGATGGCTCACTCCCTCACCACTTTCAGGTCTGTACTCAAGCATCACAATCTCTGTAAGGATGTCTCTAACTACCATATTTACAACTGTCCTCCCCCACCCTACCCTGGCACTCTCCGCAGCATTTACCACCATCTACCATGTTATATGTATATTTGACTTATTAATTTTGTTTATTGTTATATCTTCCCCAAATAGAAAATAAGTTTTATAAGGGCAGGGATTTTTGTCTGATTTATTCACCACCATTTCCCCAGTACCTAGAACAGTGCCTGCCCCCAGGGAAAAGGAAGGAGCAGAGGAGGCAGCAGAAGAGGAGGGTTGGGCAAATAAGGGGAGAGCAGAGGAAGAAGAAGCAAAAAAGGAAATTAGATAGGAAAGACTGTTCCCTCTTCTCTTCCCACCTGTGATTCACCACTTCCCATTGTATCCCAAATACTCTTTGTCTGGCTCTTCTTCCAGTGCTTACCCCCTACCCCCTTTCAAGAATTCCCAGGGCTCTAGCCCTCACACTCATCCACAATAGGAAATTTCATTGATTACCTAAACACTTGACACCTCCCAAATCTATTTATCTGGGCCAGACCTTTTCCCTAACTCTAGACATTCATAATCAGCTACCTACTAGAAAAAAATCCCACCATCCAAGCTGCTCTCATCCATCCTCTCCTTTCCCATCTTACTCACACTGACCTACCTCACTACTCAAATCTCTTGATTAGATAATTACTCTCTGAGGCAAGAGAGTGTAATGCTTAGAGAACATGACTGGTAGCATAAAGACCAGGACTTAAGTTCCCAGCTCCACCTTTTCTTTAGTAGAGCTAGCTGCTGAGTCAAGAGAAGTTATTTCATTTAATCTCTGCTAGTTTATTTTCTCACCTGTACATTGGGATAATATTAGTAAGAGTCAAAATGACACTATTTTATTTTAAAACACAGTTACTATTTTGTGGGGGAAACATTCAGGTGTTCCTCAAAATCTATTGGCTCATATTTCAAAGACAAAACAATATAATGTTCTCCTTATTCTTCATCCATTGTTAGTTTTACATCTCCTTCACTCTTTGTAACAGGTAATATATATTTGTGTACATACATGTATGATCTCATATTCTAATGACAAAAAGAGATAGCAATCTCAGACAAATTGGGCATTACTTTTGGAATAACTTAATTTGAGCCCTAATGGGGTCAGATTTTCAAGGGGCATTCCATTCTTTAACAAACTCTAGGAAGCAATCTTTCATATAGAGGTTAGAAAAACATTCTTCCATTTCATTCTGTAAAGTTCCATTCACAAACAGCACAAATTTCAACATCAACACATGATGCTAGCCAAAGGACTGGAGCCTGGCAGGAAAAGAAGACTGAGTAAATTGTCTCTGCATATTTCTCACTGTTTCTTGGCAAGACTATCTCATTATGGCAAAATTAGCACTCAAAGTGATAGGCAGTAGCTACAATGCTCATAAGTATAGATTGGAAATGCTCTTTTAGAATTTCAAATTTGGACTTGACATCTTTACTGATGCCATACAGTTAAACCAAATGTGACCAAAACAGGATGACATATTTCTGAATTTTAGAACTAGAAATCCATTTAATCAGTATTCTACTAAAACACTTTATCTGATAAATCTCTGGTTAGTAAGCAAAAACAAAACAAAAACAATGACCATAAGCAATACAACAAACAGTACCACAAAAATATTATTTACTTATGTCAAGAAAACATTCCAGGAAGATAAAGCTCTTATAATTATTCTTAGGATTTATTTCTGAATTAATATTAATACATTTTGCTTGTTATTACCCTTAGGTAATCCAGCAATGACTGTTATTAGTGCCTTAAATCCTAGCTAGGATTTGGAAGTTTATTCAAGAAATGATGCCAGAGCAGCCTATATATAGCCTGCCATACTGTGCAGAACACTGAAATGTGCTTTAACAGAACTATGTAAACAACTATATATCTGACACCCGAGCTCATGACCACCTTAATTTCATTTTTTGCTTAAACATGAAGTAAACCCCTCACAAATGACTTTTATACTTAATGGGAGGCCACACTCTTGACCATTCTGTTCATCATAAGAGAATAATAGTTTTTGATTGAAAAAAATCTATTAGATTTCTCTTGACAGAATAAAGATGTAAGCTAGGAAACCTTCTTTATATCTTGCATAAAGGAGTGGGAAAATGACTTAAAATTTTTAACAGTCAGTTTAACTCCATTGCCTGTGTGTATTGAACTATAACTTTCTCTACATTTTAAAGAGACACTAGAAAAACATTACAACAAACCAAATAAAATTTGGGCAGCAGTCACTGTTTGTACATGATAGAACAATTTTCAAAACCAGTT